TAAAGTTTGAGGTGATGGAAACTTTATGCTTACGGATTCATAATCATCACAAAAAAATCTGTCAAAAATATTGTCAACATTTACTGCATCAATTTTTTTCCATTTTTGTTGGCCTGTGTAATAAATATTGTTAAATAGCCAATACCCGCATGTTTGCAGGGCCTTCAAACACCTTTGGAACTGTAAAACAATGACTCAATTATATTCTACGCACATCTATAATACGGGTCTCGAATTTAAAGCAAATCGGACTATAAGTAAGATTTTTTGGAATAGATCGGTATCTGGTCCACCTATCAGAAAAAATATCCTATATATTAACCCAGGAAAAAGGCTACCTACGTACCAAATTTCATCGGACCATAACTAAGATTTTTTAGAATAGATTAGTCGCTGATCCACCTATATGAAAAAAGTATCCTATGTCAAATTTTAAGCAAGTTGAGCCATAAATAAGATTTTTTCGAATAGATCGGTATCTGGTCCACGTAACGGAAAAAATGGATTCTATATGCTAATCTAGGCAAAAGGCTGCCTACTTACCAAATGCATTTTTTAGCGTAGCTCGACCCTATCGAAAAAATTAAAATTTTTTGCACTCCTTCTAAACACCTTTCCAAAAAAGTAACAACCATTCGAATCGAATGAAACATAGGAGAAAATTGTTCCCAATTGATTCATGCTCACGATGAATTCCACAATTATCCGAAATTTTCCAAGCTTCACAAAGAATTTTCCACCTTTACATCGTCAAAAATCATCAAACCATGCAAAAAAATGCACAATTTCGCCGAGAAGAATTCAAATTTTTCGTGTTCTTCCGGGTTTTCCCTAGTTGCCACTTAGAATTTTCCATTTTTCGATTCGAAAGCCATTCAAGCACACAAAATTCCATACAACAAAACTCAGTGCTTGAAGTCCCTACGCGCGGAAGAAGTGAAACTTAATAGAGGAAATGCCAGAAAGAAAGAAATGTGCGATTTACATACACATGTTGTACATATTTTCTAATATACAAAATCATATTTAACATTTTTTTAACGACCTTTCATGTATTATTTTTTATATCCAACTGCAAAATTTAATTATTATTTGTGGCTGAGAAAACATCCATATCTACAATATTAACTATTGTGGTAACTAAAGTAAGATATGAAATGTTTTATATCAATATTATTAATATTGGATTATTTGTACCATTAACCATTTCCAGTGAAAATTTTTCTTTAAAAAATTTTGCCAGTTCATCAGATTTGGCCAGTGAAAAGTTGACGTTAAAATCTCCTGCGAGAATTACAGGTCGATCATAACAGTCTACTTATCTTTATCTTCATCTTTATCATTCTTCTTCATATTCATCATTCTTCTTCATATTCATCATTCTTCTTCTTCTTCATCTTCGTCTTCATCTTCATCTTCATCTTCATCTTCATCTTCATCTTCATCTTCATCTTCATCTTCATCTTCATCTTTATCTTCATCTTCATCTTCATATTCATCGTCATATTCATCTTCATCTTCATTTTCATCTTCACCTTCATCTTTATTCAAAACCATTTCTTTTGATACCCATATTGGGACATTTTATTTATTTTAATAAATAATTTGAATTTGATTTTCATATATATGGCACCCCTTTAAAAACTAAAATTATGACACCTTATCTTTTAAAATCGAGCGAACGATACAGATTTTATGACACGGGTGTTAAAAATTTAAGGCAACCCTCTGCGGCAGAGAAATTTTGAATTCGATTTTCTAACATGTGGCAACTCCTTTCATGGAACTAAAGCTATGTTGCACACCCGAAGGACGAGGCCTTTCATGTGACATCTCATTTTTGAAAATCGAACGAACGATACAGATTTTATGACCTGGCGTTAAATATTTAACACAACCCTCTGCGGCAGAGAAGTTTTGAATTCGATCTAACATGTGGCAACTCCTTTCATGGAACTAAAGCTATGTTGTAAACCCGAAGGACGAGGCCTTTCATGTGACACCTCATTTTTGAAAATCGAACGAACGATACAGATTTTATGACTTGGTGTTAAATATTTAACGCAACCATCTCCGAACTCGTGTTTGAAGTTTCACTTCAAAAATCAATTTTCGATTTGTCCAATTTCCCGACTTTCCCGGAGGGTTTTCCGAAAATTTTCTTTCGTAAAAACCTTCTCCTGGCAATCACGAACAACTAAGAAAAAATGTTTGCCAAATCGGCCCAACCTTTCTCAATTGATGAATTACTATACATTTTTCACACCATTTTTATATACAGGGTGTCCCAGAAGTAACCTGCCAAACTTGAGGAGAAGGCAGGTGGGGTGGTGTGCTCCCTGATAAGCAAACATCTTTCAGGTAAAGGTGTCACCGTTTTGGAAATATTTAAATTTGTTGGAATTAAAGAAAAATCGTGCATTTTCATGTATTTTCTTTAACTGCATGTACAAACAAGGCTATACTTAGTAAATTTTTTATGTAAAATACTTCCAGATAGTTGCTTCTCGATATTCAAATGCAATGTAGTAAACATATTTTAAGGAACCATTATAAAATTAGGACTATTTTGGGATTTTTAACTTTTTGATATTTTGCTAGAATGTATTTAATAGATTTAAATTTAAGTTGCTCTTGTTACCGACCAATGACATGCTAAATAGTGCAAAGGTACATTATTACCTGCTCCTGACATTATTTTATGTTACTTACTGGAATTTGGACTTTTTTGTGAAGGATGGGTTCACTTGAAATATGATATACATGAGTTGTTTGAAGAAAAATTTATTCATTTATTGATAAAATATGCTCAAATTGGCGACCTTCTACTGTAATACAAGCTCGGCACCTTTTAAGAAAAGACGCTTTAAGAGATCTTAAACTCAATTGGGCTATCTTAGCAGCAACTCCATTTATTTGTTCCCGTTTGTAGTCTTCGCCGCAGGTTTAAGGGTGCATCTTCTAAAAGAGTTGGCAGCCGTTCCTGAAGGAACTCTAAATAACTGTGCGAGTTGACCGTTGGCGGCAGTTCCACAGGTCCCAATATCTGACAATTAAAATTAGCGCACCATCAATTTATTTTGTACCGTTACTGCGAACGGTCTTCTATCATTCGTGAGGATTGTCTATCTGCCAACTGTGAAGGTTATGTAACTTAAAATAACCATCACGATTGCATGTTGATTCATCGCTCCAAATTATTTTATTAAAAAAGTTGGGGTCTGATTCATGCATTCGAAACATTTCACGGCAAAATCTAACCCTCGACAGGTAATCTCTTTCTTGTAGAGCCTGAATACGTTGAATGTTGTAGGGATCATATTTTAAAGCTTTGTGAACTGTAGTTTTTGGTATTCCAGTCCGTCTTTCCATCATTCTCCCTGAAGTCGATGGACCTAGTTCCACTTCCTCTAACACAACTTTTACATCTACCGTTGCAGGACGTCCTGTCTCTCCGCCATGCCTTCCAGGTATGCGACTATAAAAAAGTTAAAAATGATAGTTAAAAGAAGAATTGCTTCAAATAAGAAAGGTGTAAAAATCACTTACCTTCATATATTTCTCTATGGGTCCAGGCGAATACTTCACGGCCCGGATGCCGACGATTGGGGTATCGCTCTGCATAAAGTGTTTGAGCAGCTCTGGCATTACAGCAAGCTTCACCGTAAATTAAGTGAATATCCGCATATTCATGCGACGTATACTGCGTGTTCTCTGTCATAGTATTAATAACACAATGCTCGAAGGGTCCAATTTCACAAAATCCACTTTCACTAATTCCGGTAAGTAACACAAAATAATGTCAGGAGCAGGTAATAATGTATCTTTGTACTATTCAGCATGTCATTGGTCGGTAACAAGAGCAACTTAAATTTAAATCTAGTAAATACATTCTAGCGTGTCTCAGTCCTTTGCCCACAAAAGCGGCTATAACTTTTTTTCTTCTATTCGAAACAGTAAGAGTGGCACCTTTCTGAAATCTTTATTAAATGAGCAATTTTTTTTTATGTAATATAAAGTTAAGCTCAGTACATTGTTTTTCACCAGAGATAGCAAAGTTGGGGAATAATGGTTCCTTAATATATTTTTACTACATTGCATTTGAATATGGAGAAGCAACTATCTGGAAGTATTTTACATAAAAAATTTACTAAGTGTAGCCTTGTAGATGCTGTTAAAGAAAATACATGAAAAGCCACGATTTTTCTTTAATTCAAAAAAATTTAAATATTTCAAAAACGGTGACACTTTTACCTGAAAAATTGTTGCTTATCAGGGAGCTCACCACCTCACCTGCCTTCTCCTCAAGTTTGGCAAGTTACTTCTGGGACACCCTGTATATATGTAGATATCGGTAACTAATGATAAAATTGAAAAAAAAAAAAATAATTTTCTGAATTTTTACTTAAGCGCTTATGACTTCTACATTTTCAATCCAATTTGGATCGGATAGGGTTTGTTTTCTTCCTAAAAGATCATACTTTGACGTCCAACCGGAAGCAAAAAATATTTTTTAATAAATAAATAATGCAAATTTCTCGAAAAATCCACAAATAGCTCCAACCCGACAGTTTGACTGAAAACTGTTACACACATTGTTAATGGGATATTAAGTTTCCTTTAATATCATAAAAAGAACTTCGAAATTGTAATCACATTTTCCGGTCTACTTTCATAACATTTGATTTTATTTTCGGATTCAGGGGTAAATTTTATATAAAAAATTACAGTCAAGTGCTATAGGTCAGAACATTTTCTTAAAGTAGTGTAAAAGTAGTTTTTTTGCACCGCTCAGCGCGCTTGTGACATTTGAGGTGAATCGCCCCATGTATGCGATATACATATTTATTTCGCATTAAGGTAATAAAATAGCAAATAAAATCGACTTATACTTTAAATCGGTTTTGAAAAGTTGGACTTATATATGTTCATGCCGAACATTTTTTTTTGTTCAGTAACTATCAGGATAGTTTTTAAATAAAACCTATAATAAAAATAATGCTCATATAATTAATTTTCGTTTAATTCTAGGCGTTACTAGGTGCTCACGATGAAATAGGACTAATATATGATTGTCACCATAACCATTTTGAGAAATCTGTAGAAAAATTTGATCTTCTTTCGTATCCTAAAAACTATTACCTTTTCTCTTCTGAAATACTTTCTGGTAAAATGCCAGTGGAAGCAATGCGAATAGTTGGGCTTCGACGTGTTGAAAACAAACCTTTAGGATTTACCGTTGAAGTTAATCCGCAAAAGCTATTGGTAGTTGCGCGTATTCTTTCGGGCGGAATTATTGAGAAACAAGGCCTCTTGCACCCGGGCGACGTGATACTAGAGATTAATGGAAATCGAGTTAATACTCCAGAAGCTTTGCAAATTGAAGTATCTCGGGCTAAAGAAAATCTTACTCTAAAAGTTGCACCACATGCAGATGAGATTGTTGGAGAATGCTCTATTTCGAACTATGATACTACTGAAAGGCCAGGAAAAAAATTGATGGTAAGTATGAATATTAATAAATCAAACCCTCAGGTTCTGTTGTGCGCCTTTTTGAGGCTAGATTTAGCAATTACATTTTTTCTCTAGCTTCAGAATATTTGGTCTAACTGCGTGGCTTTCTTAAGGCTACCTATTTTATAAGTAATATTCATCTTTTTAGTACCCTGAGAAAACAAAAAATAAAATTTATAGAAACGCTAGAAAATTTGCGGTGACTATTCACTTATCCTTATCGCTTTTATTCTACCCGGGAATGTTTGATAAATCTTTGTAAATTCGAGCAGCCAAAATGAAAGATTAATTTAATTGGAATGGTAAATTCTTACAGCAAATCATATCGTCGTTTAAAGTACAAAACCGCGTTTCGTCATTCTGCAAAACCGCGTAACTGACATTGGCTGCCAAAAATTGGATTTGCTCACACAAGCTCTTGGCTCAATCCTTATCCATTCGTCCTGAAATATACTAGCCAGAAATTCAATTGCTTTATAAAAAGGAGAACCATTTTGAAAAATTAGTGTTTTTACGCTCTAGAAAATAATTTCTGCAACTTCACATACGCGGTTTTGCATTTTGCTGATACGCGGTTTTGCATTTTGTTGATACGCGGTTTTGCACTTTAAACGACGATATGCAACTACGGTGGTGGTCCCAGAAGTACTCGACATAACAAAGAAAACGCAAAAATTTTGGGAAAAAATATATTTATTTTTCAACATAATCTCCTTTCAGCTCTATACACTTTCCCCAGTTGGGGAACAGAAAACAGTCTGAGAGGGCTAAATCTGGCGAAAAGGGTGCAGGAGGTAGCAATTCAAACATTAGTTCATTAATTCGCTAAACGCTCAATTGAAACCTCTTCACGGCACTGTTTTTGGTCGAGTGTGAGTAAAAGGCGGCACCCATCTTGGACACAGCTCTCTCATTTCCAAATCTTCAGATAATATGCGAGGTACCGTATTTTTTGAAATGCCTACTATATCTGCTAGCTCGCGCATTTTCAGTCGACGATCATCCATTACCGCTTTGTGGATTTTCTTCACCATTTCTCGAGTCGTCAACTCATTTGGTCGTCTTGGCAGCTCGTACGGCCTCGCTTAAACTCTGATACACAATATTTTACCGTTGTAAACGAAGGAGCAGACTCGTCCAAAGTAGAATCTATTTCAGCTTTTATATAGGATGGGCTAAGGCCTTTTAAATAAAAGTATTGTATCACATAACGATGACCAATTTTCTCCATTTTCACAAATTCACTGAAAACGTTCACTATTGACGGCTGCCAAGCATATACTAAACAACGTGGCGTCTTCAAACTTGAATCATATCGTCGTTTAAAGTGCAAAACCCCGTACCAACAAAATGCAAAACCGCGTATCAGCAAAATGCAAACCCGCGTATGTGAAGTTGTAGAAATTATTTTCTAGGGCATAAAAACACCCATATTTCAAAATGGTCGTCTTTTTTTATAAAGCAATCGCATTTCTGGCTAGTATATTTCAGTACGAATGGATAAGGATTGAGCCAAGAGCTTGTGTGAGCAAATCCAATTTTTGGCAGCCAATGTCAATTACGCGGTTTTGCAGAATTACGATACGCGGTTTTGTACTTTAAACGACGATATGCTTTATAGATTGTGTACTTTTTAACACAGTGATATTTTTCAAACAACTACCGCCATCTCTATGTTAGGCCGGGTACTTTTGGGACCACCCCCGTATGTGACTTCTGTCATAACGCCAGTTGGCAAAATAAGGAGCTCTTATTAATCAACATTTTTAGACAGGGCTTTTTAGGTAAAACCCTACGTTTGGAAGCTGTATAAGTAGACCCTGGAATAGCTCTGCTATTCGTAAGCAGCTAAGTTTTCTGTTTTTTAAAAAACTGGAGCATTCGTGTCGCCGTGTGTTAGGAGCAAAGTTAAATTTTTACTGCGTGGAGTACGGAAGGCTTGTCGCTATAAGAAATCAGAAAAAAGCATCTTAAAGTCGAATGCGATGTTTAAAGCGAAAGTAAAGCCAATTTTTTTAAGATCATCTGGTCAAACTAGTTGTGGGCTGGGTTTGGGACCTGCCACGTAGAAACCCCTTAATTTTGCCTCGTGGGGGCCCACTCTTTGATGACGACCACTGATAACGCTTAAATTTACTAATACATTTATTTAATGTCTTGAGGTTGAGGAAGGGTAGGGTAGACTATAGCTAAACTAACTTTCGCTTTACCAATCAGGGCTCGAATCGTGACATCCGTTCACGGATCGAAAAATAGGAAAGAAAATTACGCTCCTGCTTTTTGTTTTCTTTAATTTCGCACCATGGTTGATTCATGCGGAAAATGTGGAAAGAGGTTTTCGAGAAGTTATATTTATATTGTACCATGTTTTGGGATCGGTAAGAAAACTTTTCATCGCGGCTGCTGTGTTGGCCCAATCTCGGAATATGATGTGAATTTGTTCAATTCCAACCGCCATATTGGCTATATGTGTGAGGGTTGCATCAGGTTAACCGAAAAACTTTGCAAAGCCTATGACTGTACTGGTGGGATTGAGACTAATGCCTTTGATCAAAAATTTAAAGATCTATCTTTGCAAATTGCTGATCTTAAAAGGAGTTTATTGCTTTTTAGAAAATTGAGATAGACTACAACAATGGTAAGTGTAATGGAGGAAATGAGGTTTCGGCTAATGTCAACGCTAATGTTAACAGTGCTGTTAATTCTTGCGGTGCTATGTACAATAAATGTAATAATAATCGTGTGACTGCTAACTGTAACTGTTCCTGTCCAATGCGTAAATCGTCATAGGGTCATTATATCTCCGCTCTATCCCCAGCGTAGCGGATTGCTTATGGTCTTGAAGAAACATCCGATGGTGCGATGCCCTCTATGTTACCACCTTCGGGCTCACATTCGTCGAATCTGTTAATGCTACTGCTGCTTATGGTGGCACTGTTAATGCTGCTAATGGTGCATGATGCAATAATACAAGGTGTTCGATTTTGGCAGCTTCTCGCTCTAATTCCGCCATATTGACTGACTTGGCTGAAACAGTGTTACTTCTTTAAAAATATAGTTGAATGTTTTTTTATTGTTTCTCAGTATACACATTTTGCTTTCTCAAAAAAGTATTTTATCTTATTTTATTTAATTTAATGACGAATATACTATAAAAAGAAAATTTTGTTTAGAAGAAAATGTGAAATTTTATATTCCCCCCCCAAACGCGGATTAATTTCTTCCCGTTTTTTCTTCTTATTCCACTGAGCAAAGGCAACAATAAATCAAGCTATCACAACGTCCAACACCTTGTTTTATTGCATCATGCTAATGGTGGAACTGCAATACCATCGGGCGAAATGCCCAAATGTGCAAACCGCGGGCAAATGTGCTAACCGGATGCTAAATGAGGTTAGGGAATTATGCCCGGGGGGAACAGAAAATTTGAGCGAATTGCATCTGTATGCGTGATCAGAATGAGAGAACAAGTATGTGTGAGTATTCCGAATGTGGGACCCCACGGCTATCAGCTTTCCTAAAAGCACTAAAACTTGGAAAAAATCAAAACATTACTATTTTTTTTCGCTAAAATTAAATATGCATCTATACGACGTTTGTGATCTGCCTAAAATATAAGTATTGTTGTATTTCCCAAAACCAAAATAAAAAGTGACCCACTAATTACGATTTTAAATTTTTATACACTTTAATTCAGTCATAATATATCTTTTATTTGAAATAATACTTTTATATACATTCATATGTATGTACGTATGTGTAAATAAACATTTTCGTATCGAGAATAAACTGCACTACATAGGCACTGAATATTGCGGGAAAAGTACTCGAATAGTAGGTAATTTACATTTCTCGAATGTTTTTATGGATCGTCAGCTCAGCTAACATGAAAAAATCTGCATACTTGCTCTCTCCTTCCGGCCACACACGCAGATGTAAATGTGTACCGACCAAGATTCGGACGAAGGAATTCGTAAACCGCAGTGAATTTAAAAATCAACCGAAGCAAAACGAATTTTATCGTAGTAGATTTTAGATTTTATTTTACATACAAGCGTATATATGTACCAGGGTTGTTGCGAATATTCGCATTCGCATTCGCAACCGCGGAGCTTCCGCATTAATTTTAACATTCGCTTTCGCATTCGCAATAATCAATGCGGAACTTTTGCGAATGCAAATATTTTGCAAGTGGACCGATAAAACGTATACAGGGTGTCTCAGAAGTAACCTGCCAAATTTGAGGAGAAGGCAGGTGTGGTGGTGAGCTCTCTGATTAACAAAAAATTTTCAGGTAAAAGTGTCACCGTTTTTGAAATAGTAAAATTTTTTTTAATTTAAGAAAAATCGTGCCTTTTAACTGCATCTACAAAAAAGGCTATACTTAGTAAATTTTTTATGTAAAATACTTTCACATAGTTGCTTCTCCATACTCAAATGCAACGTAGTTAAAATATATTAAGGAACCATTATAAAATTAGGACTATATTGCGATTTTTAACTTTTTGGTATTTTCTTCCCCAACTTTGACTATCTCTGGTGAAAAAAAATGTACTGAGCTATAACTTTACATTACATAAAAAATTGCTCATTCAATGTTTCGAATAGAAAAAAAAAAGTTATAGCCGCTTTTGTGGGTAAAGGACTGAGACACGCTAGAATGTATTTAATAGATTTAATTTTTGAAGTAAGAGCTCATTTAGACGATACTTATCCTCGCCGATGGATTGGACGATACGGGCCAATCACGTGGCCTGCTCGATCGCCAGACCTGAATCCATTAGATTTTTTTCAAAACGAATAGCATTTGGGGGAACAAATAAATGGAGCTGCTGCTGAGATAGCACAATTGAGTTTAAGATCTCTAAAAGCGTCTTTTCTTAAAAGATGCCGAGCTTGTATTAGAGTAGAAGGTCGCCAATTTGAGCATATTTTATCAATAAATGAATAAATTTTTCTTCAAACAACTCATGTATATTCTATTTCAT